AGTGTGAAAATGACTCAAGACAATCCTCCCTTATATAGGCGAAGTGAGAAGGCGAAGGGTCACTTTCAGAATTCAAAATTTGGGCGGGAAAATCTCTCGTCCTTTCGGCGACTGACACCTGTAGAAGGTCGCCGCCTGTTACAGTGCGACACCTGTCACAGGTAACACGTGACCAGTCACGTGCCACCTGTGAGGGGCAAATGATTAGGGGATTTTGCTCCCACCAATCGGAATGCGCCACGTGGGCCAATCAGGTCCTGCCAAGTGTCCCCCAGTTGGAACTGTCAGGGCTTGCCACGTGGCATGCGCTTATTCGTCCACCTTGGACCTGTTATGTCATGACATGTGGCATACTCCATGCCTAATGGAGAAACCGGCCACCCAGGCCCAACTTCCGAGGGAAGCCCAATCGGCCCTAGGTTAACCTAAACCTAGGATGGGCACGTTTCCCAAGGTTATAAATACCTCCCTTAATCCTCATTAAAGGGGATGACGAAAAAACACATTAATTACACACAGTAATAACCGGCTGATCTCGCTAACAAAGCAGATTACCTACATTAAACACTCTCACCTAGAGAGACCCAATCACTTTAATTTCCGCATTAATTACTCCTTAATCAAGTACTAACTTGACCGTTGGAGGCGGAGCTCCCAGGAGTCCCCGTTATTTTGCAGGTACAGGCGTCCGGTTCCAGTCTCGGAATTGTAACTCTCCCGCAGGACATCAGAAAACCCCGAAACAAAAAGCATTCATGAGATCTATAAGTTAATGTTAACAATCTTATATTGGTTTGGAATTAGTAGTGAATTATTTATTTTTTATTAACTACAATTAATGCTTATGTTAGTTAGGCCCCGTTCACTTCACCTATTTTCGCGAAACTTAAATTATTTTTACTGAAATGAAATTATTTTTGCTGAACTTAAATTATTTTACTGAACTGAAATAAATTTTACTGAAATGAAATTATTTTTGTTGAACTGAAATTATTTTTGCTTAACTGAACTTAATTTTTTTTTTTTACTGATTTTCTATTATATTTCTTCTTTATAGTTACCGAATTTTACTGAACTGAACTGGAATTATTTTTGCTTAATATCATTTTTTTAAGGTGAAGAAAATAAGGACCAAGTTTTTCAAATAAATTAAATTGCCTCAGAATTAACCGCATGTCCCAAATGGTGAAAGAAAAAAGTTTATATCCCAAAAGGTGAAACGTATAAAAGTTTAGACCCTATTTATTTCACCTTAAAAAAAATATTCAGTAAAAATAATTTGGAAAAATTGGCAGTAACAACACCAACTATGACAAAAGTGCATGTAGCAGCACAATCTTTCGAGGGTGCACTCAAAATCACAAACTATGCACTTAGGTGCACATAACAACATAAATGATTGACAAAATTTAGCTTTCTTCTTAAAATGAAATCTTAAATATTTTTAATGCTTTTTTGTTTAAAAATATTTTTGATTAATTCCATTCTACTTAATTTTCCATTTTCCATCTCATGTAATTAAGAAACCATTAAATTGAATTATTTCAAAAAGTTTTCGCCATCATTTTCTACCGTTTGTTTCTTAGTTTTACATCTCATGTGATGATTGACTTAGTTTCCTCTTCCATCATAATTACCTAGATGAAGCCCGTACAATGCACGGTTTGTTTGAATTTTTTAAAATATATATATTTTTGAATTTATGTGCTAAAATTGGTTATATATTTACATAAAATTCCTAATATCAAAAGATAATATTTTATATTTAATTAATTTAAATTTAAAAATCTCATTTGCCAATTTCGCTTACGTGGCATTTGAATTATTTTATTATAAAAGATTTTAATAATCTCTTATTTAATTGGCTACTACAAAAATTTAAAATCCTACATGGCGCACTAAGAAAATTAGATCCTACGTGGCTGTCTAAAAACTCGGGAAAAAACTCCCCTTTATATATGTATTAGATTTTTTCCCTTTAAGTGATTCTCTCTTAACCTCTACATTAAGTGTTGTACATAAAAAACAAGAAAATCAATTTGACATATCCTAAAATCCAATTCTAAAATTATTTTTTAATTAAGTATTTAAAATCATTTTGTGGGGTTTGGTATTGGAAAGTTACCTATGTATCCTGAAATCTCGTAGAATAAAGGTATTCAAATGATTTTTTTTTTAATTTATCAATTTAGTATTTAACTAAGTTGAAAGGGAAAGGAAACTAAGTCAATGTGAGATCGATATTAGAAAATTAAAAGTAAATGAAGAAGCAAACAAAGGAAAATAATAGCACACTTTTTTTTTGAAGGAATCCACTTAATATAATGGTGGAGGTTAAGAAATGCTTAAATGAAAAAAAAATAAATACAAGGTAAGACTAATTTAGTCACACATGATGGAAAATTATATATGTTTAAATAATGTTTAAACAATTATATAAAATAATAAAGATTCCACTTTTTTTTCCATGAAACCTTAGTTAATTGGTGTCATTTATGCCAATATGTGCACCCAATTACATAATTTGTGCTGTAAATCGCACCCTTAAAAGGTTGTGCTGCTACACGCACCTTTATCAAAGTTGGTGTTGTTGCGGCCAATTTTTTCAAATAATGTAAGTTTAGTAAAAATAAGTTCTGTTTAGCAAAAATAATCTGAGTTTAGTAAAAATAATTTCAATTTAGTAAAAATCAGTAAAACTAAAGAAGAAATATAAAATCAATAATAATAATTTCAGTTCAGTAAAAATTATTTAAGTTTAGCAAAAATAGTTTCATTTCAGTAAAAATAATTTTAGTTCAGCAAAAATAAGGTGAAGTGAATGGGGTCTTAGTCTCTAATTGTTACCTTAACTCATTTTCTTATAACTAGGCAAAGTCTCGTGCCATGCACGATCATAATTAAACTTTACAATAAAAATTATAAAGAATGTTGTTAATTTTAAAAATAATTTATCCAAAAAAAATATTTGTAACAAAATAACTTGAATTTTAATTTATACAAATACCAAATGCGTGCACAAAGGTTATTGAATTGAATTTCATAAAAATAATATACCCCTCCATTACATATTATTCGCAACAAAGGGTTATTATTTGTGACAAATAATACCCCTTTGTTGCAAGTAATATGTAACGGAGGGAGTAGAAATAGAAATTTAGAAACTATAAGGTTTTATGTAAGAAAATGAAAATATTAGCTTAGGTTAGTACCCGTATACAAATTCATATATATTTGTTTTTATTTTGTTGACACATTTTGGTTGGCATAATATAAAATTTTAGTTGATTTTATATTACTTTAGAATAATTAGTATTCCGTAATTAACTTTTTTAAAATATATATTTAGTGAGTAGTAGGGAGTTTTATTTTAATTTTAATAATCACATTGCAAAAATGCATAGAGTAGTTAGATTGAATTTTTCAATGTATGTTATGTACTCACTTTTCTTCTCTCTTACTTTTTTAATAATTTAATCAAGAGTTGGAATTTTACACTATATATTCATATGTCATCCTTGATTTAATATTTTTTTTTACCAATATACAATATATAAATATGATCCTATAGTTGGATCTGTCATAATGTCTTCTTTTACAAAAAAAATAAATCTCATAATTTTAATAATCTCTAATTAAAGATATTGATGGTCAAAGTTGTGTCTCAACAAATGTGCAAATGCAACTCTAGCTTATAAAAAAACGGAGGGAGTATAATATAATAAAATGATTTTGTTTAGTTGTTTTTATAAACGTTATGTATAAGTATAAGATTTATACAAAGTTTGCTACCAAAATGATTTTTCTATTTTTAATTAAAATAAATTTTATTGTCAAATGATAAAAGTTGGAGGGAAAAAATTGATAATATTATAATATTCTTGGATAATGATATATTTTAATACCTTTTTTTTTAATATATGCTACTATTTAAATATTTAATCAATACCTATAAATCCTCAATAATCACCAAAGTAGGAGCAAGGAGCTTGGAACGACATTACAGTGGTAGGGTATGGATAAGTTCAACATACAAGACCAATTTTAAGAAACTGCAGGCACTTATGATATGACTGATTTTCATTGTATTAGTTATTGTCGAGTCGGATGGATGGAGAGTGACCCTCTTTTCCACTTTATCAAAAGAAAAAAAAAAAAAAAAAAAAAAAAAAAAAAAAAAAAAAAAAAAAAAAAAGATATACTTTGGGAGTTTATCAATTTGGATGAAAATTGAATGGTTTACAACCTTTCTAGCAAAGGTACCTGTCCTTAAAGTACATAAAGCTGTAGGAGGATGGCTACATGCATATTAGAAAAGGAACAAGGAGGGAACCAACAACAAAGATTCTCTTATCTATTTGTTTTGTTACAATCACAACATATTCTTTTTACATCTATTTCATAGTAATTGCAAGATGCAATTAGACCAGTCAATTCTTGACCCAACACGAGCATACCCAAATTTAACCCGAAGTAGTTCAGAGAGAAACTGAGCTTGAACCGACCTTGACCCGTACTCGACCCAATTATTTAACCCATTTATAAAATATTGTATGTAATGACATTGTGTTTTTTCACTCTATTTGAGGTAGTTTGTAGCACCACCCGACTCATTAACCCGAATTGGCATGTTTAATTACAACACATCTTATTTGGTAAGGGTCCACTACTATTTTTCTCCCCTCCCATTTAGGCTCTGTTCATCCATCTTAGTTTTGGTAAATTGATATTATTTTTTACTGAAATGAAATTAGCTTTACTAAACTTTAATTACTTTTACCGAATTGAAATTAATTTTACGAAACTAAAATTATTTTTATTGAATGAAAATTAATTTTACTGATTCTATATTGTATTTCTTTTTAAAGTTACTGATTTTACTAAACTGAATTTTTTTTTGTTGAACCAAACTGTTTTTACTAAACTAAAATTATTTTAATAATTAACTTGTTTATTACGTATTATTATTATTTTATTTTTATTTTTTGTAAGTTGAATTGAGCAGGACCTAAAACTCTCTTGTAAAACCAAGAAAAAAACTCTAACCATTTAAGCTATTCCTCATTCCCATTACTCGTAAAATATCAACTCCCATACAAGTCTTTATTTATTAGTAATCATTCATTTTTAATTATTAACTTCCCTACAAGTCTTTATTTTCCTTTAACTTTTAATCATTTCGGTACTATATTGTGCTTGCAATTCTAAGTGATTTCCAACTCAATTCCACATTATTTGCCATAACAACACTGTATTTACACCTTTGCCTTTTCTCCACTCTAAAATCAATTCACTCTTCACACTTTGTTTCAATTATTTGTGAAAGAAAACCATCATCTAACAACAAAACAACATGACTACCATAATAGAAAATGCAGCAGGAGGATTATTAGCAAATGAAGCTTATGGACTGATCGGAATGCTGTCATCACGTATCGATGCTGAAATCAAACTAGCTCGCGGTTTCAAGAAAGAGTTAGAGGCAGTTAAAAGGCAGCTCACTCGATTAACTAAGCTATTACATGGTGCTTCTTGCCAGTCGATCACCAATCCATTGATAGTCGATTGGCTCAAAACTATAGAGAATGTTGCCTACGACGCAGACGACTTGCTCGACCAATGGTCCTATGAAGCTCTACAGGATAAAATTGTTATCTGCACCCGAAAGAGGGACAAGATTAAACGCGGTGTCTCTAAGCCCATTTCACGCTTACGTATTGGTCACAAAGCAAGTGACTTAACGAGCTTGATTAGCAACATATATGATGATGCTAATAAGCTTGGTATTAGACCAATCGAAGTTGCCTCAGGAGACGCGCACAACAACAGTAAACATTGTCATCCAAGTGAAGATCAAGAAACAAGCAAACTTCGTAACCAGCGACACTATGTGGATGATAAGTTGCTCATAGGAAGGGACGAGGACTTAACACACCTTGTTAAGTTAATATGTGATCCTAACAACACTAATTCATCCCATCTCACCGTCATAAGCATAGTGGGTATGGCAGGTGCATATCATCTTCTTTCTATGTTTGAGTGATTTTCTTTTTCTTATTTTTTTCTTTTTTTTACAACATAGGATACAAATAATTAAATGCATGTTTTATCTCTTGCAAATTGTTTTGACAAGAAAAACTTACCCCTGTTTTTGTAATGAAAACTTACCCATATTTTTATGGGTATAAGAGGTGAATTATGTTTTGACGTCCTTTTATATATATTCATTTTATTGGTAGGTTTGGGAAAGACGACATTGTGTAAACGCATTTCCAAGGAACAAGAGGTGCGGGAATTCTTCAACTCTATAGCTATTTGGCTAGTCATCTCTCGTAGCTATGATCTTCTAGATGTTTTAAACAGAATGGTGGAGATGCTTTGCAGAAAACATTCATCCATGAAAGATAGACAAGCACTGATATCAGAGCTTCGTGAAAAGTTGAAGGATAGAAGGTATTTACTCATATTAGATGATGTATGGGATACAATTCATTGGGAATCCTTGAAATCTACACTAGAGGAAATTGGTGGGTCCTATGGTACTACTGTACTAGTGACTTCACGCAACAAAGATGCAGTAGGAAAAATGGTTACGGCTTGTTATGATAGTAAGGGTAAAAATAAAATTAGAAGGCCTTATATCTATATGTTGCAGGGATTGAGTGAAGCTGACAGTTGGTCGCTATTTTTGGCTAGAATAAGTGATGATAGTCTAGTTGATAGCGAAAAAGAAGTTATTGGAAGAAGAATGTTGAAAAATTGTGGAGGTGTTCCTTTAGCCATAAGAGCACTAGGAGACTTACTAAGGGACCAAAGTCTGGATAGATGGAAGGAGATTGAGAAAAGTCAAACATGGACGAAAGTGGATAGGAATGATATTTTGCCTTCCTTGAGGTTAAGTTACGACTTCTTGCCAAGCATGACTTTGAAAAAATGCTTTGCTTATTGTGCCATATTCGGAGAAGATGAGGTCATTGACAAGAATAAGTTGATATACATGTGGATGGCTCAGGGATACTTGCAACCTTATGAGGTAATGGAGGATAAAGGGGAAGAGTATGTCGAGCATCTGATGAACAGTTCCCTTTTCCAAGAAGCAGAATTGGATGACTTTGGCAAAGTGAAGACATTTAAGATGCATGATCTAATATGGTCTCTTGCTCGAGTTGTTTCAGTGGGGGAGTGTTTGTGCTCGAATGGAGATGAAAGATCAAATGAGGTTCTACGGCACTTGTTAGTTCCCAAGCAGTCTAAAAGCAGAGAGCTCACTCTCACATCCTATACAAAGCTGCGAACATGTTTGCTTTTCAAGGAGTTTGAGCATCCTTGCTTGCATTTTTGGTTAAAATGTAAGCACTTAAGGGTGTTAAATATAGGATGGAATTGGAGCGAGGATTTAGATTGGGAGCCGTTGGGTAGCCTAATACATTTGAGGTACTTTGAATTTGATGTCGACAATGGTTTGGGTGTCATGCAGTCTAACCTTGGTGAGCACATCACCAAACTTTACCATTTGCAAACACTTTGTATAAACAACTTATGCATAGTGAAAGATCCATGCAGTACTCAATTTCCGAAACAAATAGGTAATTTGGTGAATTTACGGCACATCCTTGATAATGATTCCATTGGTATACCTATGGGGTTGAGTCTTTTGACTGCTCTACAAACTTTTCCCGCTATGAATTTAGAAATGAATTGGGGTGGGAGATTAAGTGATCTTGGTTCATTGACTAATCTCAGGGGTACATTGGAAATCCACAATATATGTTTTGTAGATGGTGAAGAAGAAGCTTATGATCGAGTTCTGCACAACAAGTCGTATCTTGACAGTTTAGTTCTCAGATGGGGTTATAATAAATCGCCAGCAGTTAAGGATAACCCCCATGCGAATGAGATCCTAGAATCTCTGCAACCCAATGCAAACTTAAAAATGCTTCAGATTTGGAATCATGACGGTACTAGATTTCCAAGATGGTTGACTGAAGACGGAAGTTCCTCACTTTCCAACCTCGTCTCCTTGAAGATTTATAGATGTAAAGCCAAAGGAATTCTGACATTAGAGAGCTTCAGATCTCTTCGTTTCTTACAAGTGGAGTACTGCAAGAGGCTAACTATTGTATTACCAAAGGAAGGGTTCCAATGTTGCAATTCGCTCGAACAGATAGCACTAGTTGGTTGTTATCAAGTCAGAAATTTTGTAGACTTGTCCACTTTGACACAGCTTCGTTCTTTAACCTTAAAAAATAACCAACTACTAGGGTTGGGGAGTCTTCCTTGTTTAAGGGAAGTACACACTGATGAATTAGTACTACTTGCACTATTGAGCGAAGATAGTCCTGTTTGCAAATCCCTCGAAGTTTTAACATTGGAGGGGTTCCAGTTGACTGATAATGATGATCATACAACTGTTCTTCCTGATCAGCTCAAATACTTGAGGGCACTCCAATGTTTGACAATCGGACACTCTGAATGTTTGGAAACGATACCTGAATGGCTGGGGAAACTGACATCTCTCAGAGAGCTGCATCTTTATGGTTTGCCTAAACTGAAGAATCTGCCTTCTCTAGAAGCAATGCGGTGTCTCTCGAATTTAAAAAGTTTAGAAATGGCTGGTTGCCCTCTTTTGTTAGCAGATGTTGAGAGTGAAAGTGGAGAGTGGCTTAAAATTGCCCATATCCCTCCTTTCATACACTACTGATGTTAGTAATGATGATGTTGTAAAATGTAAATCAATCTTTTGCAATCACAAGTACACTTTAATATATTGGTGGATGTTTTTATATGTTTATACTCTAAATCTTAATTCTGAGTATGTCCAAACATATTTCAGGCAATTCAATTTGGTTTTTCACTTAGGCCCTGTTTGGTTTGATGTAAAAGGTTTTCATAGAAAATGAATTTTTCATTTTTTCCCATTTTCCTTTGTTTGGTTTGTTAAGGAGTGGAAAACAATTTTTCAAGGGTGGAAAATTCCATCTTTAATGATGGAAAACATTTTTCTTCCAAAAACAAGGAAAGCCACATTTTCCTCTCCTCTTTTTTTACTTCCCTCTCATTCATCCCTACATTTTCACTCTTATTTTTTATTTTTCTTGGACTTTTCTTGTATGCAACCAAACAATGGAAAACTAATTTGCAATTGTGTTTTTTCTTGCAAATATGTTTTCCATGAAAACTAATTTTCCATTGAAAATGTTTTACGTTAAACCAAACGGGGCCTTAGTGTTTACAGTATATTTATATCTACAGCTTTGGTTATACTACAGTTGATAAAAACTCTGTAAAAAGTCCATGTGTTTTTTATTTTTAATAAAAATCGTGAATCAATGTAACAATGTCTTTTGTCTCGTGTGACTTACTGAATTGACCAAACAAGAATAGTTGAGTTACCTCTATCTGGCTAAATCAATTCTACATCTTCGGCTTCCTCATTGTCGTGCTCATTATTCGTATAGTAACCTGTGCTGAGATCACCATTGTGCTATGCTACTTCCAGCTCTTATTTGACATCAGGTTCTTCTGCCCTGTACCTCTTCTTCTGCATAGCATTCGATTTCTTCACCAAGCTTGAAATTACAACGGTCGTGGGTATAAACTCATCGTCCAAACCTTTGTGCAACGAAAATCAACTCGTCATGGGGTTGTCACCTTATCCTCGATGCCCATAATACTTTTAGTGACAAACAAATAGTTTGTTGCTCGTGCCATTGTTAGTAGTTTGACCACGATAGTACAAGGCGTTGCCCATAGATGCTATTTGTGCAACCAGATATCAACATTTGTCAACTAAAAATAATAGAAGTATTTTACAAATAACAAAAAAATAAACAAAAGTTTTATCAATACAACATACCACAATTCAGATGAAACCACTTGTAAAAAATGAAAACTTGATTAAGATAGTTTAGCAAAATCAACTACAATTGTGAAGAGATATTGTTTTTTCTTTTTGGTATTTAGAAAGCCATAAAGGCGGGGGTGAGAATCGATCTCAAGATTTTTTTGAACTGTGAGGGAAACTCTAATCACTTGAGTTATCTTTCACTCTCCTTGTGAAGAGATATTGTCCAATATATACATTTGTGTTAATTAGTTATACTAATCTATAATATAACTAAAACCCATGACATTAACATGGTGACGACATTTGTCTTCATGAAATTTATGATATAGCGCCACATAGATGATGACATGACAACACATTAATATTTGGATTAAATTAGATTTGAACTATTTCATCCCTTGAAATTCCCAACTTTTCATTACCATCACTATTATATCAAGCAGACATTAATTTCACTTTGATTTATCAGGGATAAAATTCATTTCCTTTATTACTACCTCCGTTTCTTATTAGTTGCAACTTTGGGGTATTATTTGTGAGATATAAAATATCCAAAGTTGCAACTAATACGAAACGGAGGTAGTATATTTGTTGTTTCTATTCAACAATTAATGTCACTTTATTACTTAATTAAGTTAATTAGAATTCATATATGAATTGTAACTTTTCATTAAGGGTTCTATAAGTTTTTAAGCATTATTTGCAATTTCCTACATAAATGTAAAACAAATACTATTGCCTCTCTCTTTCAATCCCCAACTAATTTAATTATTTTTTAATTTTATTATTTAAACTTGAGGTAATGGTTTCAAAAATGATTTAAACTCAAGATAATTTTTTTCATCATTTTATATTTAACCATAACCCGGGGCATCGCCTGGGCCCCAAACTAGTTTACTATTAAAAATCTTAAATACAACGTAATTTATCTAATTCCCAATATGTAGAATTTTAAGAAATTTCATCCATCTAAGATATTCATAACAATTCTTTGTCATGTACCTAACCCGCCTGATTTATGTGTTTTTGTACAGATAATTAGTAATAAACACTATTGAAGATAAAATCTTAAGTCATAAAGCAACAACACCAATAAATTAAAACAAAATCAAGTTATAACATTGTAAGTCTAAACAGTAGTAATTAATAAAAAAAAAAAAAAAAAAAATTGTCAAAAATAAAATGACTTTTTATAGATTTTCAAAAAATAAAACAACCTTTTGATTATTTAAGAAAATAAGACATTTGACGTGCTTCCACTCAAAATAGAACGTAACCTGTTGTTGAATGATTTGACAATTTTATTACGATACATGTCTCATTGAAATTGGTAGGTTTATTTATTTATTTTTATTTTAAATTTTACATTATTTTTTTTTTAATAAAAACTGATTTTATTTTTTTTAAATAAAAAAACCATAAAACCAACCCCCGTCCTCGTAAGCGCCTCCCCACACCCCTTCCATCCCCTCCCTTTTCCTCTACCTTCATTAAAGCCCATTTAAGGTGAGTTAAATTAGTGGGATTTTGGTTTTGGGGTGGGTTTTCGGTGGGGGTGATTTGTTTGTTGGGTGGCATAATTTGCTGTTTTTGGCATCAATTTGTGGTAATTTAGATGGCAAGTTGCCGAAAGGGGCAACGAATTGTTGGATAACCTATTGAAGGTGTTATTGTGTGTTTTTGCTGAAAAGGGGGCTGCGTGGCTGCTGTGGGATGTGGGATGTGGGCATGGCTGTAGCAACGATGGAGTAGAGATGATTGGTGGCTGCTTTCTTGGTGTTTGCGGGATGAAGTGGTGGTGGAGCAGAACGGGAAAGGGGAGCGGGTAGCAAAACGGGAACAGGGAGGGGAAGGGTATTAATACGGGAGGGGGTAGACAATTAAAATCTTTGTTTTAAAAAAGGAAAATTTGTAAATTAACACCCAAATAAGAGACCTATTTTAAAATTACAACCCGTTTCAATTTTTATTTTATTTTACCACCCCTTAAATTAAAACAGTACTCAGATTACCACCTTTTTCATAAATCCAGTGGCTTTTTCGTCAATGACGCCCACCTAACTTATTTTCCTCCTTTTTTCTTCTTTTTTTCTCTCGATTTCACCCTTTCACTATTGTATTGCACTAAACTAAACCCTTCCCACTTTCAATTTCTTCATTAAATCACTAAAAAATCATCTTCTTCTCTAATTTTTGAAAATCATCTATCATTAAGAACCGTAACTCATGAAATCCCCCAATTTCCCCCAATTAATTTGTGTGAAAACCCTAATTCATGAAATCCCCCAATTGATATGTGCAAAGAACCCTAATTCATGAAAATTCCCCAATTTACCCAATTAATTTTTGCGGAAAACCCTAATTCATGATATCCCCCAATTTCCCCAATTAATTTGTGCGAAAAACCCTAATTCATGAATTCCCCCAATTTTCCCATTAATTTGTGCAAAAAAATCCCTAATTCATGAAATCCCCCAATTTCCCCAAGTTAATTTGTGCGAAGAAACCTAATTTATGAAATCCCCCAATTTCCCCCAATTAATTTGTGCGAAGAACCCTAATTCATGACATCCCCCAATTTCCCCTAATTACAATGTGTGTAGTATCCTAATTTTAAAATAGAATTGAGGATACTGATAAGCCGTCATCGAGCCTACCAAAGATAAAAACCTAACTTTGTCTCTCTAATAGGTAGAAAGGGCAAGTAAGGGGTCGATCCCACAAGGACTAAGGGGAGCACTAACAAGTATCGATTTGTGATAAGCTAAGTCAAGTCTTTTTGGGTTTTGAGTTATAAGGAAAAACTACAAACAATAATAAAAAGGATCTTGGGAAGGTATCCACCAATTATGTCATTCACAAACTACAGTTTAACATACAAAACATAGCAATTTGGGGATAAATTAGGGGAAGTCATCTAAGGCACCCAACTACTCTCTCTAGCTAGAGGAATTACTTGAGTCATGAATACAACCTACTCTCGTGGTTACAAAGCATAAAACAAGTGTTAAAGCATAATCACAATGACATAAACATTCCCTTGACTGGAATTTGCTATTCTCATGGCATTTCAAGTTAATTAAGCATAAGGGAGCTAACTCAAGTTCATCTCTCGATCCTTCGTCGAGAAAGCTTAGATAAATAGTTCTAGCAATGGCCACTTACAAGAAGTAACAATGAAACCACTTAAGCTCAACTAATTAAATCCCACATTAGCTAAATCAACACATGAAAGCAAGTATTTGTGAATTCATCAATGGTTTCAACAATCCTAAGTAAAAGAACTACTCACAAATCATAATAAATTGCAAAACTGAATGAATAATTAACAACAAAGAACATGAAATCAAACCTAATTTATCATAAACAAGTAATAAAACAAGAAAAGATACAAAAATAAGCAATTAAAGCAATAAAATAAGAGAGAGAGTAAGAAATTCTCATTGATAATGCAAGAAATAATATATTCTTCAAGTCTCCTAACTTCAATTCTTCATATTCCAAGCTTTTAACAAGTTTTTCCCACTTTCTCTCTCTAGAAATTGAGAGTTTCTCTCTCTAAAAACCTAACCTAAGATAAAACTACACAAAGAAGATCCCCCCCCCTTTACAAATTAAGCCAAAGGAGTATTATATAACCCCCAAGTAAAAGGACGGAGAACACGAGGAAATGACCCGTCTACAGGTCGGCATGGACATGCCAAAGGTTGCATGGACATGCAGACCTATTAAAATACGACCAGTAGCTACTGCCTAACCTTGCACGAATGTGCTTCATTTGGCATGGACGTGCAGTGACTTGCACGGACGTGCCACTTGTTGGCACAGTCGTGCAACACTTTTCTAGCGAAGCAACTTATTTTCGGAAGGTCATAACTTCTTCGTTACTCATCTAAATAAGGCATGTGACTAGTCGTTGGAAAGCTCTTGAGATGAAATTTAAT